GACCAAGTTGCACAGGAACCTAAGCAGTCTCAGGTGTGGGGGGCCTGCACGCGCAGGTGTGGGAGCATCCTGTAGATGCCACAATAGGCCAGGGGACATGACTCAGGGCCCCAGGCCCACACAGGATTCCCTGCGACGGAGTCCAGAGGCTGAGGTGTCTGCATGGGACTGGGCAGGCTGCTGTTGTATGAGTCACCCTCAATCTCAGCCAGGTCACTCCCCAAATTCTCCCAGTGGCCTTTTTAGGAAGGGCCAGTGCCAGGACTCTGGGGATGTTCTAAAGGTCCCCCATTTGTGCCTTCTGAGCAAATGCATGCTGGACCACGTGAATATTTGCTGCTGGGGGCTGAGGTGCATGGCGTTTGCCTCTCTGGCCCTCTGCCCACCTGCCCAATGTCCTCTGAACTGCGTGGTCTTCAACATGTAAAATGGCTGAGGGTGCCCCTCGTAGGGGGTGAAGGTCACACTGGATGGCGGGTCTGCTCCCTCTCTTTAGGGATACTATGGTCACAACAGAAATGGCCTTTGTCTGGGCCATGCTAGGCCGGGCCTCATAGAGGGCCTGACCACTCAGGGTGAGTGGGGCCTCACAGGTGAAGGCTGGGCTGTCTGGGGCAGGGTGGTAGGGTGAGGGTGGGGTGGGCGGGATTCAAAGCCAGATCACTGGGTAGGGGGCTGTCTTCCCTGCCTTTTTCTCCCCTCTCCCCTCCTGGCCCTTGCCTTCTCCCTCCCCCACCTTGGCACAGCTGACACTCATGGCCTCAGAGCAGGACAGTGGCTGAATAGATATTGATTTTGACACTGGAGCCAGAGGACTCAAGGATTAGCCTGGGCCTGGCTAATCCTACAGGTGTGACCTGGCCCAGGTGACATCAAAGGTGGACTGGACCCAAGCACTCCATCACCTCCAGACAAGCAGCACATCCAGTCACTGGCCCCTCAGGATGGGCTGGTGGCCAGGCGCGAACCACTGGCATCTGCATTTCCCTTTGAGGACTGGCACCTGGCCCAGTGGGGGCCTACCAGGGCTGGGCATATGGGCCCACCTGTCTGGCCAGGCCTGGCCCCAAGGGCTTTGTGTGGCCACTGGTGAAACCACCCAGAGGCGCCATCACACTGGTTTCCTGTGACTGCCCTAACAAATCCTGAAGATTTGGTGGCTTAAAACTGCACAAGCTTGTTATTGTAAGGTCTGGGGTCTGAGGTGTAAACTCACCATCAGCTGCAGTGGAACTGGTGAGGGACCGGCCTCTCATGGAGGCTCCTGGGAAGGACCCTTCCCTGGCCTTCAGTAGCTCCGCAAGGCGCCTCTCTCATGTCTCTTGAGTTGCCCCCATGGCTGGGTTTCCTGTCCTCTGACTGCTGCCCCCTTTTCCAAGGACCCTCATGAGGGCATCAGACTCACCTGACAATCCAGACTAATTGCCCATCACAAGTTCCCTTTGTGAATCATGTCTGCAAAGTCCCTGTCGGATGACATCACAAGCATGTGGGATTAGGAGATAGGCAGTTGTAGGGGCCACTGTTCTGCAGATACCAGGTCCTCTCTTACCAAACCTGGGACAATTTAAGAATCAAACTGGATTCTCAAATTGAATTAATCTTAGTAACATATTACAATTCACTGAACAAAATGGGAGTCCCTAAAAGATAAAAATAGAATGAAAATAAGTGTCCCGAGCGTGTAAATAGGTGGGTGGGCTGAAGGCCCAGTGTGCCCTTATAGCGGAAGAGAGGGAACATAGCAATAGTCACTGTCTGGGGTTCTGCGCTGGCTGACTTGGTGCAAGGGCCAGGCTGGTGAGTGGAGGACTCATGCTTGGGCTGTAAGGATCTGGGTGGGTCCTCTCTTAAGAAGGGGATAGTTCATTGGGGAGCCAAGGTCTGGGCACTCCTGTGCACGTCGCAATTGGAGTATGAATGGCAGGCTGCCGCCAGCACCCTGGCCAAGCTGTTGGTGAGCAGGGCTGAGCACCTTTTCACTGTGCTGGGGAGCTGGGAGCCCCCAGCAGGGTTGTGGAGGCTGGGGTGCTGGCAGGGGCAGCAGGCTGGGGACTGGCTTGACGTGGCCCTTCATGTGAGTGCTTGCTCAGGGCCATGTAAGAGGGACTATAGGATCGGCAGTCACGGCAAGGCCAGGCAGGAGCCAGAGGGTTTGGGGGACTCTAAACACTCTACAGCAGCACTGTAGAGCCCAATGCTGTCAGCCGCCAGTGTTGCAGAGCTGGACGCGGTGTATTTGTTTAAATGAGCTTTTCAGGAGGTTCCAGAAATAACACTACCACATGCAACTTCCACTTTCTGGTGGTGAATTTCTGGGGAGTGAGGTCCCAGCTGACCCTGATCATCCTCTGTGACCCCCAAGCAGACTCCACACGGGCCTAGGCCTCCTTTACCACTAGTAGGGCTGATCCACAGGGGGTGAGCAGGTTTTGGCAGATCCAGGCATGCTAGCTGGGCCACCTTGGGTGGACATGTAACTCTCTCAGCCTTGGTGTTCTTTCCTGAGAAGTGTGGTCGGGATGTCCTGCATAGGCTGCTGTGGAGACCAAACAGGGCACGTGCATGCACTCCTATGTGTGTGCGTGTGGGGCCAGTGCGCATAGGATCTGAGCATGTGCTCCCATGCATGGTGTGTGTGTGTTGTTATAGCAGGTGTCATGGTACTTAGAGCACTGGGCCTGGCACTCAGCACTCTAGTCTGCCAGAGGACCTACAGCCTGGGGCCAGGCAGCAGGACAGAGAAGCCTCTAGAAGTCCAGAGGCAGTGGGTGCCCTTAGCTCAGGATGTCAGGCAGCTGATAGCAGGTGGTGCTGAGGGGCTATGGGAACCCTCCTCTCCGCCTGGGTCCTCCTGTGCCTGAGAGCAGGCTTGCTGGTTTCCTGGACCAAAGCACCTAACATGCATGGGCCTCAGCATCCTCATTTGCAAAATGGGGTGGCGGTAGATCTGAACCAAGGGTCTCTGGGTGAAGCTCCTAACACATGCAGTGGCCCTTGGGGTAGCTGCTGTGGTTTCTGTTTTGGGACAAGAGGGGGCTCTAGTCACAGGTAGGGACTCCAGAAATTGACCTTTTCCATAGATTTGGAAGTTCTAGTGCCCAGCCTCTTTCTGTGCTGCCTCTGGCTCTGGCTGTCCTCTTCAGCCACTAGGCATGGCAGTGGACCAGGCCAGGCATGGACCAGGCATGGCTGTGATGGGGAGGCCCATTCTCTGCCCTGCCCTTACCCAGCTCTGTAGTCCAGGTCTGCTAGAGGTCAGGAGCAGACTGTGGGGGGTGGCCTGGAGGGCATGTGGTCATGGGAAGAGGACCCAGGGTGGCTGAGGACAGGCTTCCGGGGACAGCACCTACCCAGTAGAAGGGCTGTCCAGCCCTGAGGGGCACTAGGGGAAGGACTGTAGAGCCCACTGCCATGTCTGAGGACCAGGAGACCACCTCCAGGCCTCAGGGCCATAGAGGGGCTCGTGCACTTGGCCTGTGTGTCCTACCCGGGAAGGGCCCAGCTGCTTGGGGATCCTTGGCTGTCAGGAGAGCGTAGGTGGAAGTGGCAGGAGGGGAGCGCGTGATGCCAGGCGGCCACAGATGGAGCAGGGAGGGGTGCCATGGCAACAGCACAGTCTCGAGGGTGCCGGCTGCTCAGCCCCTATGAGTCCACACTGTGAGTGGCCTGGGGTGACTACACTATGTGGGGATCACCTGTTCACCCCCCAGAAACCTCACCACTCATGGGCCTGTGGGATCAGGAACATGGCCTGGCCCCTTGGGTGTGGCTGCCTTCACAGGGGTGTTTGCTCGGAAAAGGCTGAGCTGGCATCCCTGCCCAGGTCTTACCCTTCTGTCTGCCCCAACCCTGCCTGCCTCCTGCTCCAGGCTTCCCTGTGTGGGCATGGGGAATGACCTGCAGACCTGAGCGGAAAGCCCAGGCTGCGTGCGCCACACTTGCAGGCTCACGCCACCTCCAGGCAGCCATCCCAGATGCCCAATAGCCCACAGCCCTGGCCGAACTATGATTAGCCGTGCCACCGTCAACAGCCCCTCGCCTCTGCCTTTCTGGCAGTGTAAGGGTGTGCAAGGTGGTGATAGGGTCCTGAGAGGTCAGCTATTGGGAGCTGAGAGGCTGTAGGTACTCAGTGGCCAGAGGCAGGGGTGTGAAAGGACAGGGCAGGCCCAAGGAAGGAGCTGCCAGCTCAGCGTGCCACCTCCTCTGTCCCAGGAATACCCAGGCTGGCCACTGTGCTGTGCTGTGGGCACCAGCCTCACCAAGTGTCACCAAAGTCTCAGCTCTGGATAGGAGCCCTAGTGTGGCAGCCAGGCTCTGGTTGGGTGTTGGGGACAGGTTGTGCTATCAGTTCCCCACCCCCCGGGGATGAGGGAACTTGATGGACCAGGTACTGCAGAAGGGAGGGGGGTCCCCAGGACAGAAGCAGCACCAAAGGCCCCAAGGGTGCATTCAGCAGAGGGATGACTGGAGGTGTAGGGCACATAGAGAGCCTGTTGCCCACAGACACTGTCCCATGTTTGCAAGGAAGGCTGGGAAAGCTGTGTCTCAAGGCCCTGCCCCCAGCTGCCTGGAGCCCAGCCCGTGGCTGGGGGACAGCAGCCAGTTCAGTCTCCCCTGCTTGGCAGGGTCTATGGCCCCTTCCTGGCCCTAAAGGTAAAGGTAAAGGTAGGGTGACTGGAATCTCGGAGAGACATGGGAGACCCCTTGCCGCCTTCGACCTCTTAAGAGAGGTGCCCATGAACCCTAGAATCAGCAGCTGGGCAGGGAGTGGCTGCTTTGTCTACCCCACATCCCCTGCCGAGGCCAGAGTGGTACCCAGTGGGTGGCTGGACTTGGGATTATAGACTCTGGTCACCACGGCTATATTTGTTTATCCACCTGCCCTGGTCTCTTGGAGCAAGGAGCTGGGTGAGGTCCGGCCCAGGGGAGGCCAGGGGCCTGGCTGGCCCCTGTGTGGGCCACTGAGGCAACCCCCAACTAAGCTGCCTTCCCTGCAGACGGTGCCCCACTCAGTGAGCTGTCTTGGTCATCCTCCCTTGCCGTGGTGGCTGTGTCCTTCTCGGGGCTCTTCACCGTCATCGTCCTCATGCTGGCCTGCCTGTGCTGTAAGAAGGGTGGCATCGGGTTCAAGGTGAGGACTGGCGTCTGTGGGGCTGCCCCTGGGACCCTGGGGCTGTGGCCCTCTTGGGTTCACATGGCCCTGAGCTTTCCTCCCTCCCTCTTGGACCACCAATTTGGCCACTGGGTGCCTAAAGCCACCTGTACTCCGGCCACCACCTTTACATCTTTGAGTGCCCTCTGTGGGGGTGTGTGACCTGATACCATCCTGTCCTGGTTCGGCCCCTGGGTGTTTGGGCAGGCTGAGGGTGGCCACTCATGGGCTCCTGCACTGGTGCTGGAGGGGCTCGCTTCCCTGAAGGGGCTCATTTACCCAGAGGCTCAACTCTTACTGGGGAGCTGCCTGTGGGGCGTTCTGGTCCTTGCCCAGCTGAGGCAGCAAAAGGAAACCAAAGCCACCCAGACACATGTCCCAGCACCGAGACCTTCCCAGCACTGGAGGTGGGAGGCTGCCATGTGGGGCAGGCGAGTGACAATGGCCCACAGAGATACCCTGGGGCTGAATTCTGCAGCTGATGCCTCCCTTCCCAAGGACAGTGTCCAAATGCCATCCCCTGCCCTGGAAGCCCCCGTGGCCACCGCACATGTCCAGCTGCAGCTCCAGGCAGGGAGGACCAGGCAGAGTCTGGGCTAAAAAGCCCAGCCAGAGGCACTGCCCCAGAGCCAATAGGGGCTACATCCTTGCTGATAAGCAGATGCAGCTGGCTAGGACCCTGAGTCACTTACCTGCCCTGAGGGCCAGCCTCACCCCTGGGCTAGAGGTCAGATTCCTACTCTGGGGGAGGCTAAGGTACCCTGTCTGTATTTGGGGGACACCTTCACATTAAGTGACACACGCTCTAGCCAATGTCACCCCTATTTCAGGAAGACAGCCTCAGAGTCCCAGGAGGGACCAAGGGAACAGGTGAGGACAATGACATGGCCCTTGCCAGAACCCTCTTGAGGGGGCTCAGACCCCATTAATGGGGGGTAGCTGTAAGCCTGAGGGTCCCCCCACTCCCTGGGTTCCTGTCCCTCTGACCTGCTGGCATCCAGAGTTGGGCCGGCAATGCTGGTGTCTGCCTGGACGCTCCTGAGGCCAGAGCTACGAGGTGGGGGGCTGCAGCTTGTGGGGGGGGACCCCAGGAGGTACTTGCAGGACCTTTGTGTGTGTCACCCCCTCTGGGCCCACAATCCCTCCCCTGCAGCCTCCTCTCCTCCTTGGGAACATGGTGCCGGAACATTCCAGCAGCAGCATGCCTCTGTGCAGGGCCTGCCTCTATGGTGGGCTCCTCCTGAGCCCTGGGGCTCACGCCAGGCAGGGCCATAATGCTCACTGTGAGCTCCATGATGGCTCTCCGTGCTGGCAGCCCTGGGCCCCAGGCATCAGGTAGAGCCCCCGTGAGAGTCGAGGAATGGCATTAGAGGGCATGCGGGGTCCTGGGGAGGGGGAAACCAGCCCCCTTCCCCCATCCTCTCAGTGGGCAGGCCAGGACTGAGATACTGACAGCCTGCAACCCTGCTTTGCGGTGAGAAAACCAAGGCTCAGAGAAAGGAGGTTCCCTAGGGTCACACAGCCATGTGAGAGCCCAGGCCGGCTCCCTCCCAGGCCAGCCATCTGTGCACAGGAGCATGGCCCCAAGTGGGTGGCCCGAGCCTCCCTGAGCCTCACAGGGCAGTGAGGATTGTGAAGGGATGGAGAGGCTGTGCCAGCTGCCCAGGGATGGTGTTTTAAATCAGGCCCAGGACTTCAGGGACTTTGCCTCTGGGCTCAGGAATGTGCTTTGGACTTGGCCTGGGCGTCCTCCCCAGACAGGTGTGGTTGCTACATTTCAAAATAGCAGCCAAGCCAGGAACGGCTCAGCCCAGGGCTGTCCGGAGCCAGGCTCTTAAGGAGCTTGGGGAGTGCCCAGGAGGTGGTGAGGCCACCTGGGGACAAAAGTCCAAGGGCCACCTGTGGGCAAATAGCTGTGGGGTAAAGGTGCTGCCTGGGGGTGCAGATGGCTGTGTGCTCACTGCCCAGGGATGTCCAGGAACGCGCCTTGTCCTGGCAGGAGTGGGGGCACTTACTTGTTTCTCCCAGCAGACTCTGGGGTGGGCGTGATGGAACCCCATCCCCAAAGCTGCCCTGTGGCAGGGCAGGCCTGTGGGCAGGGCCCAGGGTGAGGGGCTGTTGGGGGGTGTGGGGCTGGTTCTGGAGGAGGCTGTGGTGCTGCTGTCTTGCAGCCCCTTCTTGTTCTGCCTTTGGTCCTTCCTGGGACAGCAGTCCAGGGCGGGGCCTAGAGCCCAGCCTGCGGGAGCCACTCACGCCTGTGGCCTGGCCCGCAGGAGTTTGAGAACACCGAGGGGGATGAGTATGCAGCCGACTTCTCGGCACAGGGCTCCCCAGCCGTGGCAGCGCAGAACGGGCCGGACGTCTATGTCCTGCCACTCACCGAGGTCTCCCTGCCCATGGCCAAGCAGCCAGGGCGCTCAGGTGAGTGTGCTAGGTGGGGGCAAGTGCTGGGTGATGATGGTCTTTGGGGGTGAGCAGGGTGGGCAGAGCCCAGGATGAGCGTCACAGGCTGGGGAAGGGGGTGCTGGGGGGCCCAGGGTGTATGGCCCCTTCCAAGCCTGGGATTGGCTGTCTGCAGGCTGGGACCACCCTCCATCCTGCATTGCAGGGTTGCCAAGCAGGCTACAGGCGGCTGGTCACCGGTCCTGGGCTTAGTCACCCACGCGCTGGGGTAGAGGCTCTTTTGCAGTCCCCAGATGCTTGACCCCCAACTCCTGCCCCCTTGGCGCCACCAGGACTGTGGAGACATGGCCTCCATTGTGCCCGGCTAGAGAGGAGGGACACTGTAGGCCCCCCGTGGGTGTCTGTGAATTGGCCTTTCACTCAGACCTAGGGGGGTGGGCAGCTTGGTGGCGCAGGCGCAGTCAGAGGCCTGCTGTTGCCTCCGTGACCCATGGTGCTGCCTCTGCCATGTAAGCACTCGCACCCATCCTGGGGTCGGTGCCGTATCTTGGCTGACCATTCACACAGGGCAGATGTGGGGCCCATGCTTAAGAGGGTAGGGCACATGACTGAGCTTCAGGGGTCCTCTTCCTACTCAGTCTTAGAGCCTGGGTGATGGGCGCGGGTCCCTGGGACTCATGCCAGTTCCATGAAAGCATCTGGCCAAGGACTACCCCTCCTCATTGTTCACCCCCAGCCTCTGGGGCAGGGGAGGGAACACTGAGGGAGAGGAGTTAGGCCAGAGAGCAGAGCCCCTGCTGGCCTTGTGGGGGCTCTGCTTGCAACCAGGCCTTGGGACCACAGCTGTTTCTGTGACAACGAGTAGGCCACCCCACCTGCCCTGAGAGCCCAGCTTTTGCTGTGGCTGGGAACCTTTGGGGGCTGCAGCTCTCCACAGCACCTCACAGACCCTCTACTGCAAAGGGCCCTCAGCCACCCTGGACCATCCCTGAGGACAAGTTTGCAGGGACCCAGAAGAGGGCAATGGCAGCTTTTCTCCATTTCTGCATCTCTGGGTGCAGTTTTCTGCGGTGGGGGAGAGCACCTCCTTCCAGGGAGGGCATCCCCTAGACATCCAGGCTCCAAGTCTGCACAGGAGTCCCACCCCTTGAGAGTGCAGAGGGTGAGCGCAGCCAGAGCTGCCGTGCCCCCTCCAGTGCTGGGGGGGGCGCCTCTTGTCTCAGCACATTCCTGTCCCATTACTGTCCTCCTGTCCACAATCAGGACCCTGAACCTGCTCAGGACAGTGAAGGCTAGAGAGGGGTACCTAGACACAGCCCAGTGGGACTCCCCTAAATCCTGTTAAGCATCAGGTCAATATTCTCTGGGTCTCTGGACCCTAGTAGGAGCCCCTTCCCCACTGACACTCCTGGCAGCTAGCCGCAGCTCACCCCTCCTTGGGCCTCGAGCAGTTGGTGTGGGAGCAGAATTCAGGGAATCCCTTGGGCTGGGCAGGGTATGCGTGGGCTAGGCCAGCCCTGGCCCCTTCCTCCCATCCTCACTGACCCCATCTCTCGCTGACCTCAGCCAGCCAGCCTGCAGGAGAAAGGGCCCAGTGTGCTCCGTGCAGGGCTGTGCCAAGCAGCCCCCAACAAAGGCGCCTTTGGTGCACCCAGTGCAGGGATGCCAGCCTGTGGCAGGGCAGGGATGGGCTGCCTCAGTGCCCTCCCTGAGATGCAGCACCAGCCTCCTATCCCAGCCATACTGCCTGCCCGATGTGGCCTGTGTGGCAAGTCCAGCTCCAGGCCCTGCTGTATCTGGCCGGGCTTGTCTCTGTGGCTTCAGGCACCCCCTTCCACAGACACCCAGAAAGATGCCTGGATGTGGCTTACAGAGCCCCAGCTTTCCTGGGCAGCAGCCGCCCCTGATGGAAGCCCTTTGGTGGTCTAGCCTGCACCCAACAGATGGCACTGGGGCATTTGGGGCGACTCCACAGGACAGGCAGCCCTTGAGGGGCTGGGTAGGGAGGTGGGGAGGCTGGGGCGGGATACCTGAGCCTCCGCCCTGCCACAGTGCAGCTTCTCAAGTCCACGGATCTGGGTCGGCACAGCCTCCTGTACCTGAAGGAGATTGGGCATGGCTGGTTTGGGAAGGTGAGTGTGTCTGAGGAGGGTGGGCTGGGTGCACACCTGCTTCCCTGGGTGCTGTCCTGGCTGGGGGGGGGGGCGCCTCTCCAGGTCCTGCAGGCTCCTCCCCAGGAGTCCTCAGGGTCTGCTGCAGCCCTTCCCTACAGTCCATGTGTCAGATACTCAGAGGTGCCTGGGGAGGGGCAGTCCTGGCTTCTGCCCAAATCCCCAGCCTGGATGGGACAACTGGGTCCCTCTTCCTCACTGCAGAAGCCCGGAGAGAGTGGGCACAGCAGGGGCCTTGGGGAAGATTGGCACGAATGACTCGGCATACCGCAGCTGGAGGGGTCACTGGGCGGGTCCACCCCGTGCTGCAGATGTGTAAACTGAGGCACAGAAAGAGAAGTGGCCTGTTTTGGGGGTGGGGGGTGACGCCTCTCCCACAGGTGTTCCTGGGGGAGGTGACTGCGGGCGTCAGCAGCACCCAGGTGGTGGTGAAGGAGCTGAAAGCCAGTGCCAGCGTGCAAGAGCAGGTGCAGTTCCTGGAGGAGGCCCAGCCCCACAGGTGGGCACCACCAGGGGCATGAGGGGTGCCGGGGACTTGGGTCCTGTGACAGAGCCCGCGGCCACCAACCCCTCTTGTGGGTTCCCGCAGGGCCCTGCAGCACAGCAACCTGCTCCAGTGCCTGGCCCAGTGTGCTGAGGTGACGCCCTACCTGCTGGTGATGGAGCTCTGCCCCTTGGTGAGTCGCTGCCTGGTAAGGGATGTGAGCTGGGCCCCCCTTGCCCTGCTAGCACGTGGTGCCATCCACTGTGGGCCTCACACCCTATAAATTGGGACCCCAGGGACCCTGCTCTAACTCTAGAGTAGACCTACATGGAGAGTGTGATCTAGCATCACAGGGGTCTGGGGGTCTGGCAGCTGCTTTTCAACCTGCCTGTGTCCCTTGAGGTCCAGCACGTGGTGTCCCAGAAGCCCTAGGGTTAGCCCCCCACCTCAACTTGTTCTTAAAGCCGGTCAACATGGGCAGATGGTGCTGGCTCCCCTGGGCAGCTGCCAGGCACCTAGCTCAGCCCCACCCATCCCCAGCCCAGGAAGGGAGGTGACAGGGAGGTGGGCGGGTGGAGGCCCCCAGGGCCAGGCAGCAGTGTGTACTGGTGCCCCCTCCCCAGCTGGCTGGTGATCTGCTGCGCTCCTGTTGGCAGGGGGACCTCAAGGGTTACTTGCGGAGCTGCCGGGTGACAGAGTCCATGGCACCCGACCCCCTGACCCTGCAGCGCATGGCCTGCGAGGTGGCCTGTGGTGTCCTGCACCTGCACCGCCACAACTACGTGCACAGGTGAGGGCAGCTGTGCCCGCTGGGCCGCCCTTGGGCCAGGTCCCTGCTCTGTCATGTCCTTGGGCAGGTTTACACTGGGCCTCAGCCCTCCCCTGAAGAAGGGGCATTTGGGTGACGTATCCCTGGTGGGGTGCTGTGAGGATTAACCGGCTCAGCATCAAATAGCCATCTGCAAAGGAACTACTAAGTTTTTTAAAAATCAAGAACATAGAGGTTTGATGTCTGCTTTGTAGGAGGCTTGAAGAAACCTGTACTGTCCAACTGGCCCATCCTCTGTCCCTGAGGCAGTCAGCCACCACCCAGAGGCCCCACACCAGCCCCACACCCTGTCTCCCTCAGGCAGCAGTGGGTGGGAGGGCTCTTAGCACTGTCCTGCTCTGGTAGTCAGAAAGACCAGCCAGGATACCTAACCCTGGGGAGCCTGGGGGGACATGCTGGAAGAAATGGTGATGGACAAGTGGCCCCGCCCAGCCCGCATGCCGCACGGCTGTCCTCCCCAACAATATCCTGGTGCTGAGTGGTGACTCAGGCGACTCCAGCATCAGTGATTTTGTTGAAGAGGGCAGCTGCCAGCCTCCCGACCTGCCCAGAGCACACAGCCCACCCCAAGTCCTCAGCGCAGCAGCAGTATGGCGGGTGTGGGTTGACCTATATTTGCTCCACTGCCTTGAACACCTGAGTGACCACCAGCCAGGCAGGGGTAAAGCTGGCAGCTAGGGCCAGCCACCAGGTTAGAGGTGACCCAGATACCCCACAGATGCCTGAGGGTAGCCCAGGGTCAGCCTCAGCTCTGGCCCTGCAGGGGCAGGAATGGGCCAGGCCCTAGACCACAGCCCCTGGTAGCTCGCAAGGACACCACCACTGAACTAAGGGGGAAGGTGTCGTGGGGCACATACAGAGCCAGGGCTCTGGCTTGCACATATGCCTGTGAAAAGCAGGGAAGCAGACTGGCACCAGTGAAGGGCAAGAGGTGTGGGGGGTCCAGGGCTGGCCGGCAGTGCCTTCTAGGGCTCCCAGGTGGGCTCCAGCCCTCTCTGCCCTTTTTTCCTCATCTGCACTATAATGCCACAGGCCCATCTGCACAGCCTGTGCAAAGTGCCCCGTGCTGGGCATGGGGGTGGGCCCCTGGCAGCAGCAATGGGGAAGGGCAGTGACAGCCTCTCAGTTCCCCCTCCTGTCTGCCCACCGGGCTGAGCCCAGGATGCTCTGGGCAACCAGCCATCCAGTTGTTGGCAAAGGACCCTCTGTGGTGGACGCTCCAGCCTGGCCCACCCAGCTGACCATGCCCCTGCTCTGCAGCGACCTGGCCCTGCGGAACTGCCTGCTTACAGCCGACCTCACGGTGAAGATCGGCGACTATGGCTTATCCCACTGCAAATACAGAGTGAGTTGGGTGGGACCAGATGGGAGAGGGCAGGGCACAGGGTTGGGGCCAGCTCCCTGTCAGGGATGACCCTGTCCTCCCCCCGGGTGCCCACAGGAAGACTACTTTGTGACCACTGACCAGCTATGGGTACCACTGCGCTGGATTGCGCCCGAGCTGGTAGACGAGGTGCACAGCAATCTGCTTGTGGTGGACCAGACCAAGGCCAGCAATGTGTGGTGAGGGCAACTTCCCCAGTGGCCACCCTCCCACTAGTGCCAAGCCATGGCTGCTCATGGAGTTGTGGGGGGCTGCTGCTGCCTGTGGGCTGGGTTGTTGGGGTAGTAGAGCCTGTGAGAATCCCACACCAGTGTGGGTGCCTGGGCACCCAGTGCCAGCTGGGCTCAGAAGCCCAGTGCCAGCAAGAGTAACCTCCTGGGGTGGGGCCCTTTACTTGCCTCTGTTCCCACAGAGAGGTTTGGGGTGGGGTTGGGTTGACACTGGGGGTTGAGTTTAGACTATATTTGGTACAGGGGATCCCCAAGACTGCAGGCTGGAAGCTCTTAGACCTGGAGCTCCTGCTGAGCCAGGTCTGCAGGCTCCACAGAGTCAGGGGACCCTGGAATGGAGGGTACAGGCTTCATAGTCTGTGGGGGTGTCTCCCACCATAGGGTACCTGTTCCTGACCTTGCAGGGTCTATCCTGCCCCCTTCCCATCCAGGCCTCAACTGGCTGCCCCTCTGTTCCTGTTGAGGCCTCAGAACCTGGTCCATGGGGCCCTTCTTGAGCTCTCAGGGCCTCCCCTAAGTTGGTTAACCTGTGACCTGCCCCATCTTGGACACTTCTCCCTTCTTCTACCCTTGCCTTGCCACCAAGCTGCCCTTCCCAGCCTGGCTACCCCAATGCATGCTGGCTGGGGTCACCAGTCACAAGGCTCTGGCCAAGGGCACCACAACTGCTTCCTCTATTGCCAAATTGGCTCTGTTCCTCACTCCCCAGTCTGAGACAGCCTGTGGTCTAAAGAAGCTGGGTGTAGCTCCTGGTCATTGGAAGGACTCCCTAGTTAACTCCTACAGTGCTGAATGCTCTGGGCACCCCTGGCCTGGTCCCCACCCCTTAGCTTTCTGTCCTCAGGGTCTAGTCCTGCCCTAGGCTCTGCCCTCGGCTCTGCCCCCGTCTGGCTCCCTCTCCTGGCAGTGTCTGGTCTTCTATGTACCAAATGAATGGACAGTGCACTGGGCTCCATGCAAGGCTGGGCAGCCTTTTGTTACATTTGCTAGGCTCCTGGTGCCAGGCTTGGGCCTGGGCATGGTGGTGTGTTGTCTCTTTACTAGAGGGATGTGCTGTCCTTGGGGAGGGGCAGCTGGTGCGGCACTGAACTCTGGTCCTAGAGGTACAAGAGGCTGTGGCATCCTCTGTGGCCTGTGCCATAGCCCACCATGCTTGCCCTGTTTCATGGCTGTTACCTTGCAGGTCCCTGGGTGTGACCATCTGGGAGCTCTTTGAGCTGGGTGCGCAGCCCTACCCTCACCACTCAGACCGGCAGGTGCTGGCCTATGCTATCCGCGAGCAGCAGCTTAAGTTGCCCAAGCCCCAGCTGCAGCTGACCCTGTCAGATCGCTGGTGAGGCCCCACCATACCTCTGGCCTGCCTGGGCCAGGGAGGCTGGGATGGGGGTGTGTGGAGTTCCCAAGGCAGAGGTGGCTCAACCTGACTGCCTGGGGATCTGGCCTCCCTGGCCTGACTTTTACCTGTGGCCTCTGTGCCCTTATAAGCAGGGAGGGGTGACCTGCAGGATGTGCAGCCCACTGCCCACCCAATGCTTGTGTTGAGAGATTTGGGGAGTCACTGAATAAAGTGGGTGGGGCCCTCAGGGCAATTAGAGTGTAGGGGAGCCCTACCCCTTGCCACTGAAGCACCCTTCTCAGCCTGGCCACCCCTCTTTATGCTGGATGGGGTCCCTAGTCACAAGGTCTGGGGACCTTGACTGGTCCCTCTGTTACCAATGTTGCTTCTCCCCCATTGGGTTTCCTGGCCTGCACCACCCATGGGCGCCTCCCTGCAGGTATGAGGTGATGCAGTTCTGCTGGCTGCAGCCTGAGCAGCGGCCCACAGCTGAAGAGGTGCACCTGCTGCTGTCCTACCTGTGCGCCAAGGGCGCCACCGAGGCCGAGGAGGAGTTTGAACAGCGCTGGCGCTCGCTGCGGCCGGGCGGGGGCGGTGTGGGCCCCGGTTCAGTGGCCGGTGGTCCTGCAGTGGGCGGCGCGGCCGACATCGCGGCCACCTCGTCCTTCCCGCTGCTGGAGCAGTTCGCGGGCGATGGCTTCCACGCGGACGGTGACGACGTGCTGACGGTGACTGAGACAAGCCGTGGCCTGAACTTCGAGTACAAGTGGGAGGCGGGCTGTGGCGCCGAGGTCTTTCCGCCGCCGGGAGATGCGCTCAGCCCTGGCCGCGTCGCTCGCTTGCAGGAGCTGTGCGCGCCGGTTTGTGCGCCCCCCGGCGTGGTGCCCGTGCTCAGCGCGCACAGCCCGTCGTTGGGTAGCGAGTACTTCATCCGCCTAGAGGAGGCTGCGTCCGCCGCTGGCCACGACCCCGACTGTGCCGGCTGTGCCCCCGGCCCCCGCGCCGTTGAGCAGGATGACAACTCCGATGGCAGCGTCAATGAATCTCTGGCAACAGAGCCCCTGTTGGGCCACGCGCAGCCCGACGACAGCCCCTGGGGCGCCTGTGACCACCACCTGCGCAGGGACCTCGCCCGAGACTCACTCTGCCCTTCCCGCAAGCTCTCGCCCTCACAGGGGGCCCCAATGCCAGCAGAGCATGGAGTCCAGAGCACAGACTGGGGCTTGGCCGCCTTCTGCCCTCCCTTCTTCGAGGACCCACTGGACACATCCCCCTCCCGGTGCTCTGTGGGCGGGTCATCAGACGTTGAGGAGGAGCTGGGAGAGGCTGGAGCCCGAAGGGCTGCCCAGCAGAGACATTGGAGCTCCAACGTATCAGCCAACAACAATAGTGGCAGCCGTGATCCCGAGTCCTGGGACCTGGGCTACGGGGGCAGCTACACTGATGACTGCTCCAGCCCAAATCAGACCCCATGGGCCTCACCTGAGCAGGACCACCCTGTAGCCCAGGAGGGCCCCAGAGAGCCTCTGCTTGGGCTGCAGAAAGCCTCCCCTGGCCAGGGGCCAGGCCACTGTCTTGATCTCCCCTATCTGTGCCCTACCCAAGGCCCTGTTGTCTCCCTGGTCACACCCACCTGGATAGGGGCAGTCGTTAGTGGGGGCAAGCCCCAGGCAGAGCCCAAGCTTGCCCAGGAGGCTGAGAGCTCTGCTGGACCCCAGCTACCCCTTCCCTCCCTTCCTTCCCCTTCCCAGGAGGTAGCCCCGCTCCCCTCAGAGGCGGCTGGTGCCCCTGATGTCCTGCCTGACATGCCCAGTGAACCTGCTCAGGGTGCTGACAATGGCATCAGCTGCTGCCCTGAGGTGGAGACACCCAGTAGTGAGGACGAGGACACAACTGAGGCCACTTCGGGTGTCTTTACTGACTTATCCGGTGATCCACAGGCTGAGAAGCTAGATGTGGTGCCTGCCTTCCGCTCTCTGCAGAAGCAGGCTGGGACACCTGACTCCCTGGACTCACTGGACATCCCTTCCTCAGCCAGTGATGGTGTCTGTGAGGTCTCCAGCCCATCAGCCACTGACAACCCTGGTGGGCAGCCCCGAGCCCTGGACAGTGGCTATGACACAGAGAACTATGAGTCCCCTGAGTTTGTGCTCAAAGAGTCTCACGAGTGTGAGCCTGAGGCCTTCGGGGAGCCAGCCTTGGAAGGGGAAAGCCCTGGGCCTGGGACTCGGCTCTCTCCCTCCCTTGCAGGCCTCAGTGAGAAGAACCCCTACCGGGACTCAGCCTACTTCTCTGACCTGGACGCTGAGTCTGAACCCCCTTTGGCCCACAAGGAGAAGTGCAGGAGAGTCCTGGTCCCTGGGCCAGAGGCAGGCGTAAAGAGCCCACAGAGCCCTGGGCAACAGTCTGTGCAGGCTTCTCCTGGGCCTGAGATGCCCAGGGAGGCACAAGGCGCTGACCCCAGGGAGGTGCTGCCACCATTGCTGCCACTCGATGGGTCTTCCCCAGAGCCAAGTGCTGGCCCCGGGCCAGAGCCTCTTGAGTCCAAAGGCCCAGCCAAGGGGCCACCTGTGCCCAGCCCCAGCCATTCCAAGCTTTTCCTGCTCACCCCAGTTCTGCCAAGCTCAGAGAGCAACAGCTCCAAGCTCCAGGGGGCCCCTGGGTTACTGTCAGGGCCAGCCCAGCAGGAGCGGACAGGGGGCCTGCCTGCCCCTCGAACCCCGCTCTGCCTGGCTCTGCCTGGCCTCCCTGCAGCCTTGGAGGGCCGGCCAGAGGAGGAAGAGGAGGACAGTGAGGACAGCGATGAGTCAGACGAAGAGCTCCGCTGCTACAGCGTCCAGGAGCCCAGTGAGGAGAGCGAGGAGGAGGCTCTGGCGGTGCCTGTGGTGGTGGCCGAGAGCCAGAGCGCGCGCAACCTACGCGGCCTGCTCAAGATGCCCAGCCTGCTGTCTGAGGCCTTCTGTGAGGACCTGGAGCGCAAGAAGAAGGCAGTGTCCTTCTTCGATGATGTCACCGTCTACCTCTTCGACCAGGTGGGCAACGGCAGCTCCAGGGTCTAAGCGGGGTGGCGGGGCGTGGGTGTGTGCCCAGAGGGAAAAGCTGGGAGGGGCTGCAGCTCCAGGTGGCCTGAACCACGTGGTGTTCTCACCTCTCCAGGAAAGCCCCACTCGGGAGCTCGGGGAGCCCTTCCCTGGAGCCAAGGATTCGCCCCCCACGTTCTTGGCCGGCGACGCCCCCGTGCGACAGAGTCAGGATAACCGCTCCCCTGAGGGCCTCGGGACGCAAGAGGGTGAGTTGGGGGCGGGACTGTGTTCCTGACGTCACGGCAGCGAAGAAGGAGGAACTTTTGACATCACGGGGGGCGGGGCTCCATGACTTCCAGGCGGGATGGGGGCCATGACGTCACGGAGAGCAGGGGTAGGGGGTGGGGTCTGAGCCTGACGGCGCGTGCACGGTGTGGGGTTCGTGATGTCACGACGGGCGGGGCTGGGTCCCTAGTCGGTGGGCGCAGAGACGCGGAGGCCACTTTGCAGGCGGTGTGTTCCAGTGGGATGATGACCTCCCGCTGACGCCGGCCAAGGCCGCCATTGCGACTCCCCCGGCTCCGCCCGTCCCAGCCGGGTCCGGGCCTGGGCCCTTCTCGCGCTTCACTGTATCGCCCACTCCCGCGTCGCGCTTCTCCATCACGCACGTGTCCGACTCAGACGCGGAGTCTGTGGGAGGTGAGGCTGTGCAGGCAGGTGGAGAAAGGGTGCGGGGTGGGGGACAATCTGTGTTGGCCATTTGGGTGTGGCCGCCTCCCCGTCTGTATCCCAGGCAGGGCCCCACCAGCACCTCTGGGCCTGGCCCCCCAGGCCTCTGCTTTCTCCCTCCCCTGAGGGCCCCCATTCAGCTCTCCTGTGCCTGGCCCTGGCCCTGGCCCTGGCCCCAACCTCGAACCGGCCCAGCCAGCAGGCCCTCTGCCCTGGGTTCACCAGCACCAAGGCCCATGGTATTCTGGTGGGTCCACTCCTGTCTGCATCAGCTGGGCCAGGGGCCTGCCTCCCCCAGGCTTCCCTCAAATCCCCCCTACTGGGGGAAGCCCGTCTCCCTGCCCAGGTGGACCCAGCCCTCCCCAGCTGCTCAGCCTGTATTGCAGCCCTCTAGCCTCACTCTGGGGGCAGTGCTCACACACAGTGGGTGACCCACTGGCAGGCCACTAGCAGGTGACTGCTAGCCCTGGCCTGTTCAGGCGTGTTTCTGCATCAGTAAAAGGAAGACTTGGAGGGCATTTGCTGGGACATTGCCAGGCCTGAGTCTGGGTGACACACGGGGGGAAGAGAAATGGGTCCCTCTTCCTCCTAGACACAGGCCTGAGGGCCATGGCCCCCAATGGCCAATGGATAGAGTCTCTGGGAGGAGGCTGGGTGGGAGTCATTGGGAAAGGGACAGCTAGGTGTCTCCCTGTGTGCTCACGAGGTGCCACCTGTTTGCCAGGCTCTGCAGCAATTGCTGGGGGTGGGTGTAAAGAGGCTTGAGCCTCAGGCAACTCCCACCCACTGGAGGCTGGCGTCACCGGAGCCCTTGCCAGGCAGCAGCGAGGATGGTGACCAGGAAAGAGCGGGGATGTGGCCCTGGCGGCTGCCAGCAGCAACAGGTTCCAGTGCCTGTGACCCTCCCACCCACCCTCACCCCCACCGCACTCTGAAGAAGCAGTGGGACAAGAGGCCCCTCTGGCTGGGGCAGTGGATCTGCTGCACCCCCAGCCCTGTGCTGCTCCTTGGGGGCCAGAATTTGTCCTGGACACTTGGTTTTGCTGCCTTTCCTAGGGGTGGGGCACCAGTGTCCACTCTAGTGTTCATGTGCACACACACTCTTGAAAAGGCCTGCAACTTGGCCTCTGCGGCCAGAGAACCTGCTCTTCGCTACTGGGAGCCACATTCCTCCCCCGGTTGGCTCCTTCGGTGTTCACAGGACACTGTGCTCTTGGCCCAGCGAGGCACAGGCCCAAGACAGTAGCAGCCTGGCGAGCCTCTTCCTACCCCCTGCACCCCCCACCCCCCACCCCCATCCTGCCTGGTTCTGGGTTTGTTGAGCACAAGGAAAGGACTGTGGCTGTGTCCCTCTGCCCCATCTCAGGGTCTGTGGGTGTTCCCCCTTTCATGGCCTCTGACTGTAGCCCACTCTCCCCACAGGCTAGGGCCAGTCCCGCCTGGGTCCCACTCCTGGAGGCTGGACTGGGTGGGCCATGGTGGGTAACTGGAGAGCTGGGGGATAAAGGGCTTGTAGGCTGCACCCCTGCTGTGTGGGCCCTGTTCTAGAGGTGCCCTTGGCAGGGTGGAAGATGTGTTCCACCCATAGGGTACTGCCCAGCCCAGTGCCCCGGCTGCCAAAGGAAGGCAGAAGCTGTAGCCTGCGGCTCGTGTCAGGGCTCCTGCCTGCAGGGATGGGGCACAGAGGGGTGTACTGGGGGCTGAGGCAGTGCAGGGAGTATTTTTGTAACTGCTGTCACTGGAGCAAATGGAAGCGGGGTGAGCTTAAGTTATTGTTGCCAAAGAGATGTAAAGTTTATTGTTGCTTTGAGGGGAGGACTTGTTTTTGGTTTGTGTTTTTTGTTTATTAGTTTGAGGCTTAGGATGCTGGTGCAATGATTTTCTTGTTCCTTTTGTCTGTTTTTTAAGAGAAATCAAGCTAAGAAAAAAAATGGCTTTGTGTGGTGCTTTCTTTTGGGGTCTGCAGATAAAGTCCTGGGCAGGAGGGTGGATGGGGTCCAGCTGCCAGTCCTAGCTTCCTCACTGTCACACTGTCTTTGGCAGCCCTTGTGGCAGGAGATAATGTCCTAGACCCCCCATGTCCTGGTAGGGGGTTTACTGTTCCCTGCAGCCCCTCTCTTCCTATCTCCGAAGCTGGCCCTGCCAGGGATGGCTAAGAGGGTGGCTCCACAGGCCTCCCAGGGCAGCCTCCCTCCTCCCTCTGTCTAGGGGCTATGCCTGTCCCTCTACGTGTGGGCCAGGGGCCTGCACACCTACCCCAGCCCAAGCTGGTATCCAGCTCTTGGCTTCTTGCCCTGGGGTGTGGGCAATTGCAAGTGGGTTGGGGTGCCAAGCCCCTCCTTAGGTCTGTGAGGAACCAGTTCTGCATGAGCCCTCCCCAGTTAAGGACTGTTGTCAGCAACGTGGGTCATCACAGTGCATTTTATCCACAAATGTCAGACACCACAGAGCCAATGATAAGTCTTAAAATTTTGTATTTCAGTAGACTCCCCTCCTGTCCCTGCAGGAGGCAGCAGGGGTGGGGAGATCCCCCCACCCAGTGGCACACAGCTAGGCAAACCAGGCCACAGCACCTGATACCCAGTAACAGGAAGGAGAACCAAAAGCCCCAGGAGTAGGTTCTGCATGAAGGCTGGGGAGTGACAGGGGGCTGCAGAGACCCTGGAACTGCGGTGGGAGTCAGGAGTCCCAGGTCCCCACTCTGGCAGGGTAGGCCATGAGGTTTTGCTCCCCCTCCAACCCACGCTCCTGCCTCCTGCCCCCGGCAGATGGATCGCACCTCTGGAGGGCAGGCAACTGTTTATTGACTGGAAGTAGGACAGAGTGGGCAGAGCAAGGGCAGGGAGCTGGGCCTCATGTGCTCCTGACCCAGGTGCCCCAAGGCTCCATGGCCCGCACACCCAGAGGTGCCTGCCCTCAGCAAGGCAGATCTCGGGCTCTCTGCTGCCTCTGTCCAGGTACCGCTGGGTCCAGTCCAGGCCAGACTGAAGTGGGGTGCAGCCTGGTGGAGCAGGCAGGTGAAGGAGGGGCAGTGGCAGAGGAACCGATGTGGTTGTCAGCTGAGGAGGGGCGCAGACCTGTCGTTGGTCACTGTCGGCTTCAGCTGTATGTGGGCGAAGGGATTCCTGAGGATGAGAGAGAAGAGTGGTTTTAGATTGGGACAAGCATGGGGTGAGCTGGACCACCTGGGCTGCCCAATGCCCCCGGGGGCCCAGCCTTGGGCCTAGAGCCCATGGATGTAGAGGCTGTGGGAGTGCAGGGACAGATGTTAGCGAAGCCTATTGGCCTCAGTGTCACCACCCCGCCCCCCATGCCTCAGGTACCCCCACTTTGCTATCAACCCTCCCAGGGCAGCATGGACAGGTGTAGCGGGAAGAGGGTCCAGCTGACATCTGCCATGTAGAGGTGGGAGCCATGGGCTTCTCGGGCCCTAAGACAGCCCCCTGCAGGCCAGGCCCAAGGAGGATCTGATGACACCAGGACACAGCTCTGTAGACCACAGAGGCCTGTCCAGGCATGGGGTGTCTGTAGGAAGACACTCAACTCCATGGAGACACAGACACAGGCAGCCACGAGGCTGGCGTGCACACCCAGGGCTCCTGCAGAGGGCTTAGCACCTGTCACCTGGGAGAGCCAAGCCCTCTGCCGAGCTCCCCAGGGCCATAGCTGACACACAAACAAGACTCAAGACAAGAAGTTGAAATGCAACAAGATGAGCAGGTGAGGGGCCCTGTCTGGTCCTTGTGGAAGCCTCATCTCTCTGGAAGACCCACCCAGTGGGGACAGTACAGATGGCATGTGGACATGGAGGCACGGCAGGGACAGGACTGACTCCAGCAAAGCTGCGCTCAACTCCGGACTTTACCTGGAGTGGAGTCGCCTCCGGCATGGCTGGGTCCCCCGGAGCCTGGGTGGCTATAGCAGGCCGTGGGGCAGGTGGGTAGGGCTCCGTCCATGTGCCCAGGAAGCACCCTGGGCTGGGCACAGCTACCTGTTTTCCCGAGGATTTTGTGTTTTCTAAAAAACTGCAACACTTGCGAGTTTTTGAAAGAATAAAGGGTGGAGTAGAAACAGCATGGAGGCTGCCGAAGCCCCCAAAGCACTGCAGCGGTTCTCAACCTGTGGGTCGCAACCCACAGGAACAGTATTAAAGGGCTGCAGCATTAGGAAAGTTGAGAACCACTGCTCTAGAGTGTTACAGGCCCAGAATAAATGCCACTCTGCACCCCTGTTCCATCAGAGTTTCCCTGGGCTTTGACCTGGTTAGTGAGCTTCACCTTCCCCAAGGCCTAGGCAGGGAGGGGCTGCCTGGGGGCTCTAAGGCAAGGATTCTGCCATGGTCAGTGGGCCTGCCTCAGCCGACCTGAGGGGCAGCCTATGCTCTTCCTGCCCAGAAAAGAGCTCTGTGGCCTGTGTCTGTCCCAGAGCCAAGTGTCTGGTGTTATCAGACATGGGGCCAGATTTTTCTATTCAGTCTGGGACAGCAGAGGGAAGAACAGAACTGCCCCTGGGGTTGCAGATAAAAGAATTTAGCTCTTGCTCCTGCCTAGAGCCAGGGCAGGTGACCTGTGGCTCTGAGGATGCACCTTACTCCTGCCCCGACTCACATCCGAGTCTCAATGAGAAAGATTTGGTGGCAAAACTACACAACAGCCAGGATAGGAGGAGGAGGGGCAGGTCTCTGTTCTCTGGCCCATACTCTTCTGAGAACATGGGCTGGGCCACAGATGCTATGTCTGGTCTTGGCCTCATGGGGAGCAAACCTCTGGGCAGCCCTCAGCAGCCCAAGTGAGAGACCCCACCCAAGGCTCGCTGAAATACTAGGCCCACACCCAGGGTACACCTAAAGGACAGCACTCGCCTATGTGACCCTGGGAGGGGACAACAGAATGGGACACAGTTCAGAGCCCAAGGCCACTGTGAAGTCACCCCATATGCTACGGAGCAGGTTCCATGGCACTCGTCCCTGCCAGGGCATGCACCAGGTCCCACTTGCCTCCGAACACTGGCTGGCCGGTGAGCACAGCTAACCACTAAGAGACAAACCCACGTGTCCCACACCCAGCGATAGAGGAAGCCAATGAGAACGCCCCAGAGTGTGGGGATGCTGGAGGCAGAGTTTGCTTCCCAAGTGAGACCTGGAGGGCCACGTGCCCCAGCCTCAGGGCACTGGGAACTGCTGTTAGAGGCTCCTGGTGAGGATGAGGAATGGCGGCAGCTCTGACACGCAGAAGAGAAGCCCACTGGCAGGGCAGGGCTCCAGAACATGGCGGGTGCAGGCACCACTACAGGCCAGGGAAGAGGCTGGTGGGGAGCTTGTAGGGCTTTGAGGGGTTGAGGGACCCCGCCCTGCCCACGGGCAGCTCTCGGGAACACTGTGACCAGAGACCAACTGCATCCACCTGAGGTTCCATCTGCGGCCCCTGCACATACACACGGCACATTCCCATCCCAGAAGCACAGCGCGGAGGAGCCCAGTGGACCGCAGCCATCTCTGAGCCCACACAAAGGAAAAGCCAGGAATTCTGGGAACAAACCAGATTACCATGAAGGACGTGTGTCTCCTGAGGTGGCCCTAGAGCAGAGAGTGGGCACTGAGACAGCCACTGCCCTGCCTTCCCATGTAAGCAGGTTCCCTGCTCCTGCTGCCTCAGCCCTCAGGACTGAGTCACGAGAGAGCATGTGGCCTCTGCTGACAGCACGGACAGCGACCTGGGTGCTGCCTCCACTCTCATCCTGAGTGCCCCAGCACCCTTAGACAGGGCAAAGCGGGCCAGGGCTGTCCCTTAATCAATCACAGGTGGCTTCCAATGTACCCACCCCCAGGTGAAGCATGGGGCCAGGCAGACATGGTCCTTGCCCCACAAAGGGATGCGGTCTCAGGGGCATGGTCTCTGCCCTACATGGGGAGGGATGTGGCCCCTGCCACATACAGAAATGTGGTCTCTGTCCTACACAGAGATATGGCCCCTGCTCTACACAGGGATATGGTCTCAGGAATGCGGTCTCTGCCCCACAAAAGAACATGGTCTTAGGGATGTGATCTCTGCCCTACAAAGGGACATGGTCCCAGACAAAGGCTGCACCAGCTTCTCTGAGCCATTGGCCCTTCCTGAGCCTCAGATCCCACCGAGGTGGGGATAGCATAGCCTAGGGTCAGGTCAAGGGACTCTGCAGGCCTCCAGAGAGCACATCTCAGAGGGAAAGAGATGGAGGTGGGAAGGTGGCACCAGGGCCATCAAGGACATTTCTGTTGTCTGTCCCCAAATTTCAGGAGCATTTTTCCTATAGAACTTTGTAGAATTTATGCAGCATCTCCACAACAGGAATACAGTAATGACAGTAAGAGTCCAGGGGCTGCTTGTGTGGTCTGGCTACTGTGGCCACCATCCTTGGTAATGGATGATGGTGCTGGCTGCACAGGGCAGCCCTCCTAGTAGTTCAGAGCGGAGGGCAATGGGAAGCCCCTTCTACTGGGTGGGGACAGGAGCCCCCGCGTCTTTCTGGCCTCCCTAGAACTGAGAGAAAGGGGCCATCACCAGAAGGCAGCTGGATGCTGGGGAGGGCCCCCACTTGTAGGGAACTTGGTACAACATCTCAGAATTACACTGGGGGGCACAGGCAAGGTTGGACTGGGCCGCAGACCCACATCCAAGTGTCCCCAGTGGAGCTGTGTGCTCTGGCACTCTTAGGGAATACATGGGGGCTGCCCACGCCCTGATCCTGGCCCTTCAGGCCCCCAGGCCATCGTACTTACCACGGAGACTGGGATCAGGCTGCACCCCAGGGGCCGGCATGAGGAGTGACACACACCCAGAGAGCCCCTGCGCTGGTGTTGTGTGTCAAGTGGGAGGGACCCTACCCCAGCTGCTCCCTGGGGCCACCCTCTGAGTGTGGTCAAAGCGCCCAGCAGGGCAGGAGAGGACCAGACAGAGGCCAGGGCCAGATCACACCCAGCAGGAGAGAAGTGGTGGGCGCAGAAAGCCAGAATCCATGAGCTCACAGATGGAAGGAAGAAGGCCCACAAGCCAGGGGCCCAGTGGAGGCAAAGGCCCGGAGCCCAGTGCAGGGGCAGGCTCAGCAGACCCCCTGGCCCTGCCTAGCAGCCAGGCCCAATCCAGCCAGACTGCATGGCTGGGGCCAGAGGGTGGCCCAGAAGATGCACACTGACCAGCACAAGAAGCCAGAGAGACTTACTAACTCTAGTCAAGGTGCTCAGAATCTGGCCACTTCCACTTCGGCACTGCAAGGAAACACAAGGGCTCAGTTGGAAGCGGTGAAGGGGACATGGGGGCCAGATAGAGGGTGGAGCTGCCAGGGGCCCAGGCCGGGCACGGATGCAGCTGTGGGCAGAGGCCTGCAGCACCTGCCTTGATCTGTGGGGCTAGAGGGAGCCAGGTGGCAGCACCAACTTGCGCCAATGTGGCTGGGTAGCCAGCTGGGTGCCCAGAGGTGCAGGGAAGGCAACCCTGCCTGCTTGCCCAGCTTTCTCTGGAGGAGACTCTGCAGAGGGGTGCACAGGGGCAGGGCCTGACCCCCTCGGCCCCAGACATATGCTGGGGACTGGAAGGAGGCTCCAAACCCAACTCAGTGCAATAAATAAAACTTTTATTCAAACAATTAACTGCAGTACAGGGCACAATTCAGATTTAAAAAAAAAAGGAAAAGAAACAGGAAAAAATATTTTCAGCACTTTACATCTTCATACAAGTTTTGCTGTTTTATGTCTACATTCATCCATGAAACATGGAATCCCCTGGATTTGAAATCTTTTAGCAAAATTCGAACAACACAGAAGGTTCTCCTTACAGAGGTCCCAGTCCTGGCTTTGCTTCCCTTAAATATAAAATGGATCTGTCTGTGCCTCGGAGCTGCTGCTTACACTACCGGCCACATCCCGGTCCACAGGCAGGTAAGCGGGAGGGTTTGCTAAATCACATCAGAAAAAGGGGCGTCCACAGCTTCACAAAGGGGCTCCCACCGGCAGGCGGGCCGAGCCAGGCTGTGCCCTTCACTCCACTCCCCAGAATTCAATGTGTGAAGAGACAAAACCAGTAGCCACTGAGTCCAGTGTGTTTGTTTCTAAAGTCACCAAGACACACAAAAAGACGAGAGTGTTTAGAAAGACCTGGGGCAGGGACCACCTGCTCCCCCTGGATGGGAGGTGCAGGGCAGCACGCAGAAGCCCTCCCCACGCCGGCCTTGCCAGGCCCCATGTGCACACCCCCAATGCGCACACCCTGCCCCGAGCAGCCAGGTGGGCTGGCACGTGGTTGTGACTCCCTCGCAAGGCTGGTTAAAGAAACGATTTCCAAAAAAACGTGGGGTGGGGGTGGGTCTCTGGAGGTCTTTGGAATGTCCGCATGCGGCCAGGCAGCGCCTGCCCCCAGCCTGCGCCTGCCAGCGCTGCATGAGGTAACAAGGCCCTGCTGTGGAGACGCACCAGCCTGGCACACTCGGCCTGCACACCCGGCCAGCAGTGTCCATTGAGGCACCTGACCTGGTGGGCCAGGCTGGGTCCGGGGCTGCAGCCTCCCTCACAGGAGTGGCCAGCTTCCTCAGGAGGCTCTGGAGCTCGGCATGAGCCCCCTTTCTCTGTGAAGCCCTCAGAAGGCGCCTAGGGTGGCCGGGGTCCCCCGGGGCACGACCCTCGGCCCAGCACCTCCCCTGTCCCAGCAGACGCCAGCGCAAGGGGGAAGTCAGATGCAAAGTAACAGTACATACACCAGAGTCCATGCAGATCTGTTTTTGTTTTTCAGGAAAAAAATCCTTTTTCCTGTTTTTCTTTTTTTTTTTTTTTTTTAAAGGTTTTTCTTTTTCTTCAAACTTTAGACCTGGCTCTCAGTAAGCCTCAGAGAAGGGATGAGGGCGTTATGAACGCCGCAGGGGGGCCGAGGGCCCCTGAGCTGCTGGGCAAGTCCTGCCTGGCAGTTTCTGTACGAGAGGCTGGGACGCAGGGAGGGCTGTGAACACGGGGGTGGAGGAGCAGCACCATGGACCCTGGGGGATCACAGAGTCTGGGGTCACCAACCAAAAGGCGAGGGGAGTGGAAAGAAAAACAACCCAAGAACAAACCAGCAAGAGCTGAGGAGGGAGCGGGTGGAGACGGGGTGGGGGGGGCGGAGCTCTTCAGAGCAGCAGCGCCGAGGTCGGCGTCCTCACACTGTGGACACCAGCGTGCCACTGCCGCTGTGGAACAAAGCACAGGACAGCTGCCTGGCTGCACATGGCTGCCCTGCCAGAAGCAGCAGGTCCACCCGCACAGATCAGCGGTCCCTTTCAGCTCCCACCAGCCGGCTAGCCCGGAGAGGGCTCGGGACAAGGGCTGACAAGCCACAGCACCAGTGGTGGCAGGATAAGCCCAGGGCCAGGAGAGGGCAGCAGCCCCGGCCGTGGGGGCCTCTGTTTCTGGTAGTGGACGCAGGGCCAGTCTGGGCTCCCAAAGGAAAGAGAAGGGACTTGCCCCCACCCAGCCTCTGGTGCACCCACTACACGCCAAAAACGCCCTGAGAGCCTTACCTGCTCACAGACCTGGCTCCATAGTCATCCAGACCCTGGGGACAAAGGCAGAAGAGAGTCAGGTAGGGGAGCCAGGTCTGAAGCCAAGTCCCCCCATCCTGCGTGCCTGGTGTACACCCACAAACGGCTGGTCCTGCCTCAGTGGAGTCAGATCATGCTTCCCAGAGAAGGCACCCCCTTCCTGCCTCCTGGTCACAGTGGTCAGGGGGAGCCCTGGGTACCAGTGGTGGTGACTCCTTGGCTACCTGTCGGGCTGTGTGCTCACTGTGTGTTCCTGCCTCCGTGTGGGGTGGACCAGCTGAGAGCCTCTGTGAGCCTCTGCACCCTGCCGGAGAGCACCTGCTGCCACCTGAGGCAAACCCAGACTGCCTGGGCCCAGCCTCCAGGAGACCTGCGCACCCCCGCTTGTGTCACTGCCCTTGACACCTTGTCTTTGCCAGCCTGACCTGACTGGGGACATGGAGCAGTGGTACAGACATGACATAGTACCCTGAGGCCAGGGGATGGGAGGGTCACATTGTCCTAAGGTTGGGGGGATAGGGGAGAAAGGAAGGTATCACACTGCCCTGAGGCTAGGGGGTAGAGGGGGTGTCACACTGCCCAGAAACCAGTGTCCTCTGAGAGCCCTCCTGTGGCTTCAGGCCAGCCAAGTCCCACAGGGAGGGAGGTAAGGGGGTAGGAGGGAGACTGAGACTGCTCAGGACCACTCTTCACAGGGTCAATACACACTGTTACTATTGTCCAGGATGCCCAATCTTGGAAAAAGACATTTCTCTTCTTTTACCCACTGCCCAAGGCCTAGCCCTGGACACTGGGGTCTAAGGTGAGGCTGTAACCTAGTCCTGGTCTTAATAAGGTAACAGGCAGACAGAGCCTGCCTCCCTTCAACCCAGAGCCTCCGTGGATGAGGCGGGGGCAGTAAGCTGGCTGCCCAGGATTCCTGGGCCTGATCGTCTACCTCTGGTCCCTGACACCCTGGGTCATGATAACTAGAAGGTCCAGCCATAGCCCACCCAGAGCCGCAGACGCTCATATCACGTGACCTGGGAGAAGGCTCTCCAGGAAGGGAAACCAAGTCTTCCCTGATCCCAGACACTTCCCAGCCCAGACCTGGCCCCACAGGGAAGGGCAGTGAGCCAAACATGGCTGCAGGGAACACCTGAGTCTGTGGGCAGAGAGAGTCTGGGGGAGAGGCTCCCCACGTCCACCCATGCCACAGACGGTGCACATACTCCCAAACCACCTGGGAGAAGGCAGGTGCTCACCTGGGAGAAGGCGGGCACGGCCACGCTGTAGGGCCTCTGCTTGAAGGTACCGGCCGTCTGGGTGGGGAAGGCCCGGGAGGACGCGCCGTAGTCAGGGGGTGGCAGGGCCAGGTCATCCTTGTCCAGCAGGTTCCCAGTGCTGCTGCTCTTCCCCTGCTGCAGGCTGCAGGCCGAGGTAGGGGGGTCAGAGGCTGGCCCAGCAGGCCTGGCCCCTGCAGGCATGCTGACACCACAGGCCTGCCTGTTCTGGCTTCCTTTCCTCCTTCTGGGCTGCTTGCTATACCCAGGCATGAAGTTGCACCACTCAACCCCAATTCCCACCAGCTTTCTCTCTCTGTGAAGAAGTCCCTGATCTTCCTAGCAGCTGTGGTCCCCATCGACTAGGTCTAAGCTCAGAAGAACCTATAGGACACAGGGCAGTTAGGTCTCTGAACAACCAGCTGCAGGAGATGGGCTCTCCTCACTGCACCTGCTGCCGTGCTCCCTGTCCCAGCACCTCACAGGGCTCATCCGCACAAGGGCCTTACATGTCCAGCCCTCAGGGCCTGTAGGAGCAGCAGCTCACCTCATGTGCAGCCTGTCGCTACCGTCACTGTCCAGGACCCGGGTATAAGAGAAGGGAAACCAGCCCCGCCTGCAAGAGAGACCCAAGGAGGAGGCCATGCTCAGCTATGGAGGCCCCCAGGTGGGCAGCAGAGTGGCCGCCCCTTCCACTATCCACCACCCACCCCCAAATCCCACCAGCTTGCCATCTGTCTATGGAGAGACAGCTGCTGCCCCACCAGACCCAGCCACATGCCCCCAGGGTCCAGGTGGAGCTGCTGCTCCAGCGACACAGCCCCCAGCTGTAGCACCAAGACCCTGTGGCTACTGGAACAGAGGCAGGGGCCCCTCTGGGTGGTGGCTGCCTGGAAGCCAGAACAAAGCTCAGCATACACCCTTCCTCCTGGGTTAGGGAGGCAAAGACATTAGGGCCGATCCTACTACCGGGTGAAGGTTCCCATCCTGCCAAGAGACACACCCATGTAAAAAATATGGCCCTAGAGAGCAGACCCCCCATCCAGGCGGCCCCCAGGCCAGGCAAGGTTGGGTCCTCAGCCCAGCCCCTCTGCTGACAGGCGCCACAAAGGTGCAGCCATCTGATTGCACAATGGGACCTAGAGACTCAAAGTCCCACCAGACACCCTGAAGTCATGGGTCTCAGGCTGGCCCAGCCTGCCCTGCACTGCCCAGCCATGGGAAAACCCCATGCCCTGCAACGAGGAAATGGCTGGACGTGCCAGGTGTGCACATGTGGGATGCTGCGCCAAATTGAGTGAGATGGGATGGTGCTGGGGTCATGCAGGTGACAGGCACCCAGGCTGACGCTGGTCACGGCTGTGTGGGGCAAGCCCTGGCGGCCTCTTTCATTCTTACTGCACAGGTTTGCTATGATGTGAACCTGTGACCCAGGCTGCTAGTCTGACATGTGTCTGAGCACCGTAGGGCTGGGGGCTGCGGTCCCTGCCCCGAAACCAGCACTCACATCTTGGTCTTCTCACTCTCGCCATAGTGCCAGCCATCACGGGCCTCAGGCACCAGCAGGGTGATGAGGTCCCCTTCCTTGAAGCTCAGCAGTGTGCTATTGTCCCCCGCAGCATGGGAGAAGATGGCCTTTACCCGCATGCGTCCATTGCGCTCCAAGCCAGCTGCCATGGAACTGGAGCGGGGCAGAGTCTTGTTCTCAGCTGTGAGGACAGGGGCAGGCATGAGGGAACTGTCCCTGGCAGAAGCCGCAGAGCCGGGTGGAGGGCAGGCAGCCTGGACGTGTATGGGGGACACCAGCAGCCCATGCCTTGGATGGCGAGAGAGGGGCTGTACTGGGCGGTGGCTGCCTGCTCCTGAGTGGCTGGCTGAGCGAGCTCACGTGCCGTGTGTCGGAACAGAAAGCCCCAGTGCCATAAGCACACACGAGCATGCGTTCCCAGGCAGCGCGCACCTGCACACACACTCGTGAGCCTGGGCTCTCCCAGGCCCCTACTCAGAGGCATGCCCAGGGACCCCAACTGGCACCCAGAGGAGCCCTTACTGGTGGCGTAGCTGTTCTTGGGGGTCACACTCTTGCGCACAGGCAGCGTGTTGGAGTACGAGTCACTCAGCTTGCTCTGAGACTGCGGGGGAGATAGGGACTTGGGCTGGGCGGCTTTGCGGTCAGCCCAGGGGTTGTAGTCTTCGCTGTCTGGGCCTGCGACCCCGTTCATGATGGGCGCGTTCTCCTGGGCAGACATCCGCTGCAGAGAGGAGGTGGCAAGGGGGAGGGTGTTGCCGGGTTCCCCTGAGCAGGGCCAGGCGGGGAAAGCCCCCACCCCCTGGGCAGGGAGGGCTGGGCTCAGCCTGCCCTCCAGCACGACCTGCCCCAAGAGGCCACCCAGGTACAAGGGATCATCTTCCCACTCCACTTCCATAATGCTCCCAAGGATGCAGACTCACCCCCACAAATGGTGCCAGTTCAGGGGGTACAGGCAGGGGCTTGGCCCCTGGAATGGGGTCTGAGATGACCAGGTTGGACTTGGAGGCTGACAGGGTGCTGGGAAGGATGGCGCCATTGCTGCTGGCCACCTGCTGCATCAGCTGGACAGCACGGTCAGGAATTTTGTTGGGGTCAGCACAGGCCTGTTGCCACAGAGGCAGCTTCTGGGCCAGCAGCTCCTTGCCCTGTAGCAGAGGAGGCAGGACAGGGTGGCATCAGGGTAGGCTGCAGGCTGGCTTCCCCATGGCACCTCTGGAGGGGACACTGGCCATGGCTGAGAGCTCTGCAGGTGGTGCCCTACAGAGGGATAGCCTACCTAGGAGCCCTGATCCTGACTCACAAAAGGGACTTCTCAGCAAAGAGATGTCCCATTGGTGGACCAAAAGGAGTGAGCACAAACCATGGCCCCAGCTGCCGGGCCATGTGGGGGCTGGAGGGAGGACAGACGGGCTTGCACAGTGGCCAAGTAATGGAAAGACCCTTTATGGGCAAGCCACAAGATACCAAAAGAGCACCACTGGCGGGAGAAGGCAGCACCGGCCACAGAGGGGCAGAGTGCTTAGCAGCGGTCAGGCAGGCCGCCATAGGGGCAGGAGCCAACCCCATCAGGCTCTGCTCCAGGGGATCCAGGGGCTGCTGGGACATGGTGCGCCAGTGAGCACAGCAGGGAAAGAGGATGAGGGAGCCCCAGGTCTGTGGTCTGGCTCAGGAGGTCCTGCATTTGTTGCAGGGAACTCCTAGTCTGGGGCCTGGGCGCTAAAAAAGAGCCCCGTCTCTCCTGGCCATGTGGTCCAAGTGGACAGTAGGGCCTGTACCACTGGTCCCACAGACCATGAAGCAGCCAGAGGTGTCCCTAGCTTCCTGTCAGTGGGCTGGGTGAGCAGATGCACCCCTGGGTGGGGAAGGGGAAGATGCCGGCAGCAGCCCTGTGAGTAAGGCTGAGCCAGCCAGTCTGAGGCCCAGTCTCCTCTTTCGTAAAAAATGTCTTATTGTTTCCAAATTACCCTGAGAGAGAGACTTGTGGCCTGCAAAGCTAAAAACATCCACTCTCTGGCCTGTGAGGAAGGTCTGCTGACCATTAGTTTCAACTCAGTCACTGGTAAAGGAAGAAGTCTGGGTTAAAATGAAAACGGGGGTGGTGGGCACACAGACAGGCCAGCAAGGACCAGCACCTATGTGGACAGCCCAGGACCCCTGGGGAAGGACAGCCACTCAGTCGTGACCTGCACAGGGCCCAGACAGCCACAAGCCAGGGCCACTCCCACCCCAAACCCCTGCAGGTGGGTGTGGAGCAGCCCTACACCCAGGCACGGGGAGCTGCCAGGTCACCTCACTGCTAAGGACAGCCCTAGGGGGCCACCCTACATCCTAGTCCCAGCCCAGGGTGCCCTACAAGAGGGTTTGAGTGAGATGTGCCCCTTCTAGACACACCCAGGAGCCTGGAGCCTGTGGGAAGGGGCCTGGAGGCACAGGGTGGAGAGGCCCAGCCTGCCAGCTCAGCTGCCAACCTGGGACGGCCTCCTGGGAGCCAGTAGTGCTGCGGCCACTAGAGGGCGCAGACGCCCACAGCAGTGCGTGGGTCAGTGTCTTGCTTCAGAGCAGACGCGGCAGCCCAAGGGCCTGCAGGCTGGAGGGTCTGAACTCCCTTGGCAAGCCCAGCAAAGGCACGGGAGAGGCTGGGACGGCGTGTCCTCCCCAAGACAGTTTCTGCCCTTGCTTTGTACCTGTCACAGCTCCCCAGAGGCCCAGGCAGGTGAGGGGAAGCTGTCCCGTTGGTGGTCCCAGGCTCTGAGGACCAGAGCTGCTATGTGCCCTGTGGATCCTGGGAAGCCCGATGCTTAAAAAGGCCTCCTGTGTTGGCTTGGCTGCCAAACTACATCTTATAAGCTCTTAAAATGCTCTGGAATATTCCAGAGAACACAATCTCATCCCACCCGCACTCTTGCCCACGGGTGAACAGAGGCCCCCTCCTGACTCTACCTGCTCACAGTGAGGCAGTCTGGGGTCGGGGCCCTGCCTGGCCTCAGGGTCCAGGCCTCCCCAACAGTTTGAGCCTGGACACTCCCTGGCATGTCCTTGGAGTGGGCCCAGTGTGGGGCAAGCCTCACCTTGGCGTGGTAGGTGGCAGAGCTCTTGGCCACGGCGCACTGCTTCTCCACCAGGAAGCAGAAACGCCTGCGCTCCTCTGTGAGGGCCGTCTTGTAGCCGTCGGACACGTAGCTCTCCAGCTCACCCTGCTTGTTGCTGATGGCATCGATGTACTGGGGGTGGAGGGAGGAGATTAGCTGGTGACAGGAGGGCAGGGCAGCCACATATTTAGTAAAGCAGCCCATGGTATCAACTGCCCAGGGACCACGCTCGGTGTATGTGCCTAAGCTGGCCAGTGTGGCTGAGGGTCCCACCTCCAGTGGGAGGGCCCAGGAGGGCAGCCAGCCTGGTATCTTCAGAGCTCTTCTCAAGAAGTAGAAGCACATGGGCAGTGCCTGTGGCTCAATGAGTAGGGTGCCAGCCCCATATACCAAGGGTGGTGGGTTTGAACCCAGCCCCGGCCAAACTGCAACAAAAAAATAGCTGGGCATTGTGGTGGGCGCCTGTATTCCCAGCTACTCAGGAGGCTGAGGCAAGAGAATCGCCCAAGCCCAGGAGTTGGAGGTTGCTATGTGCTGTGATGTTATTGCACTCTACCAAGGGCAATAAAGTGAGACTCTGTCTCTAAAAAAAAAAAAAAAAAGTGGAAGCACAGGTGTACCAGACAGGTACTGCTGGCCCCTCTGGGAGGCACAGCCCAGCCCAGGACAGCCCTGTTCTCCTGTGCCACCTGGTGTTCCCTTGGCCTGAGTGTACATCCAAGGCCTCTAAGCCTTGGTTCAAGCAGAAGACACAGGAGAGGTACAGCCAGGGGACCTGACTGGGGCTCATCCCCCTCTCCTGCTGGCTCCTGTCTGGGCACCTGGGAGTAGGCAGGGCAGATGCCTCGCAGCTGCCTTCTGATGACCACACACCCAGGGGGAGGAGGTAAGAACGAAGTTTGTGGAGAAGACAGAACAAGGGGCCATGGATGGGAAGTAGGGAGCTTGGTGATCAAGGACATTGTCCACTGGTGACAGTGAGGCCCGCCCACATAGCCACACTGCTATGGCCATGCAGGGTCGCACTTATGGCATGTGCTTGAGTGAGGGGCTGCCCGGCTTAAGGACTGAGAAGTGACCAGACTGCTGGCCTTTTGCCTTGGAGGAGCCAAAGTGCCCTCCCCCAATGGCCTATTAGGACAGGCTGAGAATGTGCTCAGGACAAACACGGTGGCTTTGCAAACTCCTACAACTTTCACGGTGTGTGGGGCTTAGGAGTGACTGATGGCCAAGCCTAGCTGGACTGGGGCAGCTAGCAAGTAGCCCAACCCCTCAGGCTGGTCCTCAGGAGCCCTGGACAGCTGACGGATGGCATCTGGCACGTCTCGGCCACCTCTGCTTCCATATGGCATACAACCTGCCTAAGAAATGCTGGCGGAATCAACTCAGAGAAGAAAATCAAATCTCAACCCCACAAAGCCTCCAGATCAAGCTGCTCACTACAAACATGTGGGGCCAGGGACTGCGATGACCACAGGTCATGGGAGCAGCCACGTTCAAACCAGGAGCTGTAGGGGCAGCTCATATTTGACGGAATAGAGTTCCACGTGAGAAGTTGAAAAGGTTCTGGGGGCAGACAGTGTGATGGGCTCGGTGTGGCTTTGCTTAATGCTGTTGGCTTGTACACTCAGCAATAGTTAAAATGGTAAAATGTATCACTCATGTGCATTTAACCTTAATAAAAATAATTCTAAAAACATGGTACAAAGGAAATCCTTCTGGGAGGGAAAAGAGAAAGGAGAAGTTTGGGGAAATTGCTCGGAGAGCCTGGCTGCAGGCGGTGGGAACAGAATCTATAGTGCAGTTCCTGCTGGGTGTGGCACAACCAATGATCACAGCCCCAACCCCAGGGCTCTGCCTCTGTCCCCTTCTGCCAGCCCTGGTCTGGTGGTGGCAGCCTGGTGCTGCGGTGGCATAACTAGCAGACCAGCACCTCCCCCTGCTCTAGTTCTGATGACCAAAACCACCTTGCTCATGACCTGTCAGCCCACACCTAGCTCACTTGGCACAGGGAACAAGGATGCTGGGAGACCCTGACTCAAGAGAGGATATCATCTAGAATCTGATTTTGTAGGTTGGAAACTTCAGGCTGTGGGGAGCCACTGGGGTGAAGGGGAAGCCCTCAGGGGTACTACCCCTAGGCTCTACCCCTCCTCGGAGCTGCCTCCCCTCTGCCTCCTCCTGAGCCCACACTGGGGGCTGAGCCTCCACCAGGCCCAGGTCTGGCTCAGACCCTGCCTGCCGGCACCTCAGCCAGGAACAGCTTTTGCAGAGCACTGCCCCACATCCTCCGCAAGGGGGCGGCCTCCCCCGCCTGAGCCTGACTCACCGGGGCCCCTGCCTCAGCGGAGCTGACTCAGCACAGGTGGGCGTCCCAGCGCAAGAAGCAGAATACAGTGCCAGCCCCAGCCGGGCCCTGGCTGCGGCCCCCACGAAGCCTCAGTGGGGGCACAGGCCTATCCCCAGCACTGCCACTAGCACAAGGCTCCGTCTGCCAGCCACAGAGAACAAATGAGAGCCCGGTCACCAAACAGGACCTGAGTCCTTGTGGCCACTCCTCCCACACTGTGCATCATCCCTCCCTGCTGGGCCTCAACACACCCGGCTTGTTACCCCATTCCTAAACCAAGGCCTATGCCTCAATGAACAGGCCTTGGCCCTCGTAGTCTGCCTGATGGGGGCCAGGACTGCACTTGGGGAGAAGCCTGAATACAGGCAGAGAGGCCCCCCCAGGGCAGCCTTGAGTTACCCTCCAAGAGCTGTGTTCCCACTGCTGCCTCTCCTCCTCCCCTCTCTCCTCCCCTCCTGCTCTCCTCCTTTCTCTCCTCCTCCTCCCCCCCCTTCTTCTCCCCCCTCCTCCCCTCCCCCTCCTCACACTCCTCCTCCCTCTGCTCCTTTTCCTCCCCTCCCTTTGCACCTGGAGCACCAAGTTCTTTTCCTCTGGCTATACAACCTGCGCCTACCGGCTTCCGGCTTCCATTCCAAAGCTCCTCCTCCAGGAAGTGGGGCAGGGAGCCTGCCAGGGGCTGGTGGGGTGCATGGTGGGTGTGACTGGGCTGTGGACAGGCAGAGTGGACTCTTGGAGGAAGGGCCCTAGCTGTGTTCCAGCCTCAACCTGGGTGCTGGGCTCCTCTCCAACCTTTAGGATAAGAGGCCAGCTGGGGCAGGGCCACTCTGAAACCCTCACCCTTACCCCCTCACTCAGGGCCATGCCCAGCACCAGGCTGAGGTGCCTGCAGGTCCCACTGGTTGTGCGGATGGGTCTTACCCTCCCTTCCTTCCCCAGAAACTGTCAGACCCAGCGTTGTGGCCTCTAGACTTTGGCTTAGGGCCCAGAAACCCCCAAAATGAGGTAGCGGAGGGAAGAGTGTACAAGGCTTCTAAGGCAGGGAGGGACCTACTCACTCATCCTCAGGCCACCCCCTCTCTGGGGACTTTTCCAGGGTGGTCAGGCCTGGAAGGCCTGGTGGGCAAGTATGCCCAGAGGCCAGCCAGAGACCTGATGCCTCAGAGAAGCTCCACAGACACTGAAAAGAGTCGGCCCAGGGGCCACCCAGAGCAGGAACAAGCAGCACTCGGAAAGCAAGGGCATTGCTTGGAACAGTCACCCCAGGACAGCAGCTCTAACCAGGCCGCAGGGCCCCTGGGTCTCCCTACCCTGAGAACAGCACCGCCCGAGTCCAGGCCCCAGGAGCCGGCCCCACTGCCCACCCTGCAGACGGTTTCTGGGTTTTCAGGCTGCGGATCTTTGCACAGACAGCTCTGTTCCCTGGGGTAGAGTGCCCATTGGGGGCCCTGGCCTCTTTAGCAGGGCCTGGCAGCCTCAGTGTTGGTAGGAGTGGTGTTTTATTTTTAATATTTCCACTTACTCAAATGAGTCTAGGAATGGCTGGGAGTGGCCCAAGCCACAAGCAAAGAGGCTCCAGCCCTGCTCATGGACCCCCACGTCCAGGGGACAGGCAGGAACAAGGCTCCTGAGCTACAGCTGCACAGCCAGCCAGCCTCGAGGTCCCCTGACTCAGGTGCTGAGCAGTCCAGCTGCACTGACCCCCAACACAAGCTCTGCAGCCACAGCGAGCCCGAGTCGCTATGACATGTGGCTGCCCCTCTGTCTAGGGATAGCAGCCAATGCTCCTGACTGCCTTCTCCAGGGCACTAACTCCTGACAAGTGAGGCTATGACTTTGCTGGGACGATTCTAGGATCCTAGGGCAAGCAAGGAGCTTCATCCCTCAGGGGTCCAGTGGGGTCGGCAAGCGGGGAAGAGGTCACTGCCAACCCTCTGAGCTCTGGCCGCTCTGACCTGCTGCTGGGTAGGGACGCTACTGTGTGAGGAGGCCTCTGGGCTGTCACAAAGGTGCAGAGGACACAGCACAGCCTCGGCCTACGCCACCAACTCGGCAGCAGGCCATGGGAGCTGGCACCCGCCTGGCGGCCAGGCTCCAGCGTCCCGCCCCACCGCTCCTTGCTTAGCTGGGTGCCATGGCGACCGCACTGCAGAAACACCCAGCTGAAAGCATTTCAGACCCACAAAGCCTCCCACTTAGTCACCCTGGGCTGAACAGCCCTGTGATCCGAGAAGACAAAAGTGATCAGAACAAATCTCCGCTTCTCCCCAAAGCACACTGGTGACTCAGGGTGGGGGAGGGGCATTCTAGAAAGAACCAAAGCACCGGCTCCTCATCTGATGTGGCTGCTGTGGCTTTCCCACGTTTTTTTGAGAACCTCTTGAGAACCTCGCTCCCCCCAAGGTTTCCTGCAGTGCATGAATGAGAATGTGATTCTCGGACTTCAGTTGTCACCAGGGTAATGGTAACGATTACCCCCAAGGAGGCAGCCGAGGTGCTGTGATGGGCAGGAGGGACACAGTAGGATCCAGCACCCCAACACTGCAGGGGTCCGACGACCCCTCACCCAGGTGCACAGCGGGAAGACCAGCGGCAGTCAGTGTGAGAGACTTGAGCTGCTGGACTGCAGGTGTGATGGATGCCTGGCAGGAACCAGGGGTCCTTTAAACCTCAGAGCTAGACTCAAGTCAGGCTGAGCAGAGGGGAGTTACGCCAACCCTGCCCATGGGCCAGCACCGCACTCTATGAGGAGTCAGCTACAGAGACATCTTTGGGAGGAGAGCGG